AATCGGCGGAAGGAACTAAAATCTATATAATTTTAAAGTACTAAAATATGATGTCGTTTCATGTGGATAAAATAGAAACATTACCGATCTCCATGAAGTCGGTCAAAACTTTTGTTAGAGCTTGGCAAATTGTCTAATTCTTCGGAAAACGTTAACGTTTTCCTCCAGTCGTCTCCACTTCCGTCCTTTTTAGATGAATCTCTGTAATAGTCTTTGTTGCAGCCATGGCCATCGCGGCGATAAGCCTTGTCTAAAAATCGCAGCATACAAACGCGAAATATGCAACAGCAACGAAACTTTGAAAGTAAAACACTACTGTAATATTTTTACCCTAAAACTACATATCTTGCTATCCGAGGACAATGAGGAAATTAAGCATAGTTTGGAGAGTGATCAAATTCAAATGTTTACTATAAGACTTTCAAAGTTCAGACAAACAGTTTAACAAGGTAATACATCAGATGATTGTCAATCCGTTGGAGCAGCTTTATTAATTCTACCAATCACAACTCTGATAACTGATAATCTGATTGTTTGCTATCATAATGGGGGCAAATTCTCTATCCAAACTATAAAATACTATCAGATACCAGAACACATCGTTCCCATTTTCGAACATAAGTATGCATGAACCATCTGTAATACAGCTGCGAAAGCCGGCCTTCCTTAGCGTTCAGATGTCAGAAACTGTGAGGCACCCATATGACACAGGTAATTTACAAATGGAACAGGAAGATTACGCTTCATTGATTTACGAAGCTAAGTATCTGGCGATGACACCATCCAATCATAGTTAATTACGAGCATCGACCTACAATCGAGTGCTTTTGGAAACGTGCCCCATATTTGGGCTAAGAAAGGAGAAACTCTTTCCTCAAAAGTCGGACTATGCTTTAACTCGTTCAAGTCAGTGCTGTTGCACGCTATGGATCCAGTATGAAAGGATATGGTATAATACGGTATGAAAGAGCAAGAACAATGGTTGAACTGTCTGCCGCAGCGTTGGCTAAGACACAATGAGAATTATGTAACATGACCAGTAAAGAATGAGTCCATTCTTTTCTAGGTACAGATGAGTGAAGTCAATATGGCGATGAAAAACAGGACGTTGGTCATCTTAGAGAACATCGCTCTGCATAAGTTATTTATTCCAATGTTCGAAACAATGCAAATATCAGCCAGGAGACCAGAATGCAACCTAAATCAAACGGTAGAGGCAAATCTGTTTTCATAGAGAAGTAATTGTTTTTTCTAAGACACAGTGCCTTCGAGCAAAAACGTTTTAAAGTTACGAATACAATGAGCATCACACACCTGAGACGTTCTCTTCTGTTCATTCATATAGCTGAATGATGATCACAGAAACAAACAAATAAACTACTTCCGACAATAGAATAAGGAGAGTTTCAATCGTTTCTGTCATACCTTCTCCACCGAGTTAGTAAAATACACATCATCTTCTCTTCAGAAAGATGAAAAAACGATTAAAAATTTTGGCGGGAAACATTCATATGCTGCATTTTCGCGGTTTTGATCATCGAGGGGACACAGGTACTATTTACACACTTATCTGTCAACATAGCCAACGAGTCATCAACTTTGGTTCAGAGGGTAACGGCATCATGAAAAGATGCGTCACTTATTTCTTTGTAGATCAACCAGGCAAGAAGTGCCGAGTCCTTCGATCCATGAGTCTGCATGAACTTTCGAAAACACTATGAGCAACTTTGTCCAAACATATTTTCAAATTCGCGATATTCTCCCGATGGCAGAGACAACGCCTTCAGTAGGTTTCTCCATTTTTATGCGTATTCTACTAGCTGAATTAGATTGACGAGCATTCCAAACGTCAGCTGCTTCACATATTCCAAATGGTTGATCTTCTTCAACAGGGGAGCTCACGAATGAGGTACCTGCGGGAGTCCAGTTCCGAACTTAATCGAGCTTCGCTGCACTAGCGTTCCATCGAATGAGCCCCACTTTCTCTATTTGCATCCTGAATTGTACAAGTTCGATCAGTATGCAAGACTCCTCACCCCTCATCTCATCGTCACCTATCGCCAATCACCAAAGGTAAGGGTAGGTGGGTATACAGACTAGAAGAGAGGTAGCTTGACACTACTGCTCAGCCATTTCTTCTTCCCCAAATCATTTTCAGCCTCTGCTGAAATGCCATCAAGACACGATGAGAGAGTCTGTCTGATTCGGTGGCAACAGACACTACTGATCGGAGTAGCGAAAGTCTGACAGAAGAGTAGACACGATGTCAAAGGCATTTCACCTCTGGCATACACATTGCTCCAGCGCTTATAAATTACCATTTGCACATAATTTCTTACGGGAATGAACAAGGAACGCATTCGAAAAGTACGCAAAGAACTTGGTGAAAACACGCCAAGAGTACACGTTCCGCTGTTGTGCGAAAACAGAAGTCTACCACATTGAACAACCCTACCAAGTGTCAACAATGCACATCCATCCCTACCACAGCGATTACTTAAGATTCGTGATGTACCATCATCTTAACATTCGCATATTCGCATGCTGACACAAAGAGATGTTCACTGCGAGATTCCTCACTAAGAAAGAAAGAAGATTCCTCACTAACAACATATACTCGTTTAGTCTTCTTTGCCAAGTGATGCGCTTACTGCCGATCCGTCATGGCCTATCTTTGGGTTCCACGTTAGTAGCGGATGACTCGGTGAGGATTAATCGCTTCCAACTGCCGGTCTCTGAATGCCTCTGAGATGTATCCTAACCCCCAAGAAATGCGAGCCGCCTTGAGGTCAGCTAACCTCAAGATGATGTTTTTCCTGATGCGGCCGCAAAACACAATTGATCTTCAGATGGTTTGGTGGTTAGCAGTACTGGAGGATGTTCGGTGGACGTTCGTGTACTTCAGTAGTCAGCACTATTCTATTTCTGGTTTGTGTAACAAAAGAAAAGGAAAGTTTGTAACCGTTGGAATGTAGATTTCCTTACTTTTCATTCTGGCGCCATAATTTTTCATAAGTTAAGTGGACGGTACCATGCTGATATCCGTTTTGATAGCATCGGCCAGGAATGCCCTATTTTTCAAAGTAGAATCTACAGCTCGTAGAAAGCGTAGCGTGCAGTTGCCTTGTTTTCCTCCCACTATAGGATACACGTTTATCAACCTCGGAAATACGAAAGACGAATGAAAACTAGTGACCCCGATGAGGGTTAGAACCCAGGATATTTCGTTTCCAAGTTTGACACTCTAACGACCAGATTAGTAACCCCGGTTTGATATAACATGTGGGAAATTTCTTGCTCCAGAGAATTTGTGAAAATAACAACGATTGCCGTGGGGTGGAATCGAACCCGATACTTCCTGAGTTCGTAACAGACCTCTTAGGCCATGTGCCACCACGCAATGAACCCGTAAAATAAAATGGACCTAGCATCAGCGCAGTCATGAGCTGATCTTGGTGTAGACTGTAGTTCCGTTTCCGGTCTAAATTTTTGACAAGTTCCTGAAGATTAATGAAGCAAGCGCAACCACTCTGTTTAGGTCGATAGCACTCGTTTCAGCGCATACCATCAGTTCCACTGTCCAATTTAGATTCTGACCACTCTCTGTCTTTGCAAGGACCAGCTGAATATCCACTTCCTCTGCAGACAGATCTAGTTAACGAGTGAAAATCGTTGCTGCTCTTCGTCCAACAACAAAATTTCATGAGCTTAGTCTAGGTTTGTAAAGAACTTTGCAGAGTAGCTTAAGCTGCATGTTATTTAGAAGAGGAGATCCGTCTTCGGAGAATATGATACATTACTCAATAGGTACTTATCTACCTGATTTATCTGCACTCCAGTAAACCGCAGAGCACAATAAGTAATAACTGCTGCAAGTGAACAGTGTGAAACTCAAAGAACGAAATCGAGGACAAAGATCAGTGTCAAAAGAGAATTCGACTATTAATGTGCGACGAATAAAGCATAATCGTTACACGAATCGAACAAAACCATATAACACACTACCATCTCAAATATACGAAAAGTTCGCTCAAGGACTTACGTGCTTCTTTGTAGACCTTGGATTTACTTCGAGGCTTCTTTCTGTGCCTCCGAGAGGATGGTTCTGCCTTGATGTTCCCCAACGGCATCGGTTCACTGTTCACCTTGATGCCGAGCAGCTTTTCGTCGTCGCTAATCGAATCTTCTCGATCCAGTGGAAGTGGAAACTTCCGATGTGAGCGTCCATGAGTCCCAGGCAAAACTTCGCCGCTGCTGCTCTTTTCATGGCTGTCTGGAGTTCGATGCCGTTTCCTTTTCTTGTGATGATGACGCTCGGTGGTGTGCTTAGAAGATTTACCCTTCTCTGCCTGCCTCGCGAGCAGCCGAGCCCTCAACAGCGCTTCTTTCTCCTCGGCATCGTTATCAACCTTTACTTGTTGGACAGAGCTTTTAATAGTTGGTTTAGCATCTGGTTCTGAATCTATTAATTCGCCATCGTCAGAAGAATACATCACAAGAGGTGGATATTCACTTGGTTCCTATCGTAAACAAATGGTTTTCAAGTTACAACTGTTGAT